AATCAAATATCACTGATAGCCAGATAGCTTTACCATGCCTCTAGCACAGCAATGGTGTGGGGCCACTGGACTCAAATGGTTAAAAAGAAATACACAAAGCACCAAAACTTCAAATGTGCATGCAACAGCTGTGTAATAATTCTGATATAATTGACATCATAGAATTCATTCAGCAAGCTGTGGTGATGACATTGTTTTAAGAAGAGAACTGGAGAAAATAATTTCATAACTGGTTATCTGTGACTAATGCACTGTGTGATGGATTGTTTCGGTAAGTTTAAATGTTTGTTAGAATGTAAAGTTCAAAGTTAAAGTGAGCCATAAATCATCAGTGCTGAAAGGACAAAGGAGAATGTAGCTGCAGTATTTCTTGCAGAGACTGTATCCACAGCGGAGCTATTCTGTTCAGAAAAGGGTAACTCCCAAGGTGTTTAGTACTGTACATACTGTGAAATATTTACTAGTGGAAAGCACCACTATGAGTTCAGTGGCCCAGAGTGGTGATTGAATGAGAATTCTACTGTATCCGTACCTTCAGTATTCATGTACACTATTTGGACTGTTCTATTTTTCTTACCTATACAACTTAATGTGCCTACCACACCTGTATTTATGGTCTGTTTGTCACTGTTTTGGGCTTTGTGAAGTCTTCAGTGACAGTAGTAGCTGCTCATTCCATGGTACTTAAAGTACTTTTACACAATATTTATCTTTTAAATTGTAGAGGTACTTACAGAACAATAATAAAAACAGTAGCCAACAGAAACTTGTACCATCACACGGTATGAGAATTGTATGAACAGAGGACTTTTGCAGAAGAGTGAGAATAAGATCTCTTGCAAATCAAAATGCTGAAATGTAACTAATGGATTTTGAGACTCAATTCAAATAACCATGCAGGCCTGAACATTTTCTTTTTGTGTTAAGGTTTATTCCTTCTCTTTCACATCTTTCTCGGGGGTAAGTTTTGGTTTGATTTGGTTTCTTACTGCTTTACAACTCAGAAAAACAAAGAAACATCCCTCCTCTCTTTGCAAAGGAAACATTTACGACCACACCTTTTTTTTTCTTCATTGAAGAAATAATCAAAAGGCTTGCAGCTTGGAGGAAGCATTATTGGCTTGTAATTTGTTTGTGCAGCCAAGCAAATAAATAAGGCTTCTTTAATTGCACTGCTGTAGATTTAGAACACAAGGGAGCTGTTGCAAAGGACCAGTACCACTCACTGCTCAAAGACAACATTAGTGTCTCCTGCAATATTAATTAGAGGGTCTTGGCTGATGGCCTACTGGATTGAACATGTTAACTACCTGCTATGATGTCGCATGTAGCAGAAAAAAACAATTGGCTTCTATACAAGGATATAAGACCATCTGTGAGACAAGCACATTTTTTTTAAAAGACACACATGCACAGGTGTATACACTTCTAACATGAGTCTCAGAGCCTCACTTCATCATCTTCAGACTTCTTTAATGAATCTGCTTTTTAGAAGTAACTCACGGCGGATTCTTTCGAATCAGTACAGTGCCACTTTGAATTTATAGTTTATGGGAAAATTAGCCATTTCCTAAAGCTAATGAAAAACCTGAGTTCTAAAGCTTTGTTGATTCTAATTGTTTACGACTGATATTCTAAAAAGTCTAAGCGGTTTGATTTTGAGAAAAAAACAATTGCATGTATATACTGTAGAAAGAAACATTTCTTCACTCCCACTTCCCAGTCGCTGTGCCCACAACTCTGCAGGACAGGGGTGTTTCATGTCTGGGGTCACAGCTGAGTCATCTTTTCATCAGAACACTGCAGCTTCTTGAGCAGACAGTATCTAATTGATCCTCAATGGATATCTCATCTAGCCATTTCTTGACAGAAGCTAACAGCTTCAACAACAGTTCTGGGTAAACATCCATGGTGTTTGCTGTGAATTGTTTTAAAAGAATGACATTTTTAGACTTTCTGGGTGATGTTCAAACCTTTCTAATGGATCTTTTAATCTTTACCTGATGTTTACTCCACCCAGGAACAGCGTGGGTTTTGCTGTAGGTTTAATGGAGCCCTATTCAGCTTTTGTCAATAACCATTTCCTGTTTCTATCTCTATATTAACTTGTGAGTCTCAAAATGTCCCAAACACATTGAAATACAAAGAACCTTAAGACTTAGCGCACAAAACGCTGTTCAATATTTGTAAGCCTGCAGTTAGTTATGTGCAGTTCTTGTGAAAGAACTGAAGTTCTGTAGTTCTTCTTTGAATTTGCACATCCTAGGCCAAAAAGACATGACTAAAGTAATAGAATCCTACAGTATGTTTAGCTTTTAGCCTTGAACTGCTGGAAGTTATAAAAGAGGTTTATATTATCTTTAGGGTCTGACCCAAAAGAAAGTCAATATTTCTTTGTGAACACAATTCTGTCCTGTTATTATTCTGTTTTACAATAGCAAAAAAGAAAAAAAGAGGAGGAAAAACAAAAAAGGAAACTTAAATGAAGAGAAATACAAACATTAAAAAGAGGGATGGTTAATAATAATAATAATAATAATAATAATAATAATAATAATAATAATAATTGCTTACACTTATATGGCGCTTTTCTGGACACTCGTTGAATAAATTATGTAAATCGAAAAAAATATGCCCAGATTGACATCAGTATTTTACCATTGTAAGGTTTGTCCACATGTTTGCAAATTCCTACCAATAAAGACGGGTCATGCATATGAACAGCTGAGGATTGTTGAAGATTTGGTTTAGTTTGCATCAGTCGCTGCACCGTCATATTATCATAGTAATAAGACTCCTTTTCCTCTGGCAAACTGACTTCTGCCATTGCAAACACGACACACTTTAATCACCTTCCCCTCAAAGCAGGATGTGGTCGAACAACACTCTTTCAAAATAACTAAGCAAAAGTATGAACTCCATGTATAGTAAAACAAGACTTCATTCCGTTGGTGGGGAGTATAAATGTGTCTGCAAATAGCGCAATTTTCCAGTTGAGAGATAATGAAATTAGTCCTGTTCTTAACTATGAAGCGATCTTGGGTTAAAGGCAGCAAAGTCTTTTGATATTCTTAGTCTGTCTTTATCTAATTTGCTAAAATATGTGAGGTGCACGTTTCTTTCAAATGCGTGGAGTGGTGAAATTCAAAAGCTTTCCAAAGCCAATCTAAAAGTATTGCTGATAGTTACCCGTTAAAGCCTCAGCCTTCCTTAAAACCAAGTTTATTTTGTTCTTGTATATTTAACTTTCAGTAATATCCATGTTAAACTGTTCGTTCCATATAGATTTTAATTGCCTAAAACGTTTAATTGCATATCCTACTGTAAGTGTTACACACAAACCTGTTTCAGCATCGTAACGGTTTCTGAAAAAAAAACTCGCAAAAGTTCTGAAAGATGCTCACAAACATGGTGACATTCCTGGGATCTCCTTGACAAGATAGTATATTGAAATTTCTGCCAAAACGAACTTACAAGTGCAACTAGACAGGAAGGAGATGTCTGCAATGCTTCTCGTTTGGGTTTGAAATACCTTCACTTTCTTTCAGTTGTTTCAGGAGCAGTTCAACTATGAACAGCAACTCCCACTCATTGTGAGAAAACAGTGCCCAACTACCTGCAGACGGTCTTGCAAATACTCTAAACAGTGTCGCCATGTTTTTTTAATAACATACTGTATTTACCCTCAACACAAAGAGAAAAACATTTAAAAAAAATAAAAATCAATTTTTCAAGAACTTATTCAAGTGTTATTACAATGTGCATACCAGTGCTTAAACAGATACTTTATTTTCATACTTCTTCATTTTTAAAAACTTTTTTGAAATGTTGCCATTTAAAAAAGGTTGGTGGGTGTTTCTTCCTCCTCTGATGGGTCAAAAAGCTGTCGAAAGCAGAAAAAAGCAGGACATGAAACAAAGCTGCTTCCTCCCTGTGTCGGTGTGGCCAAACCTAGGCCGAGAGCGACCCCTTCTGGCAGAGAATCACACAACATAGCAGTTGCACTTCCTCCTGGTAAAATTCCACTGGAACAGAGGGAGTTTCTCCATGAATTACAGGGGGAGACTTCTGTGAGCAGCCTGCTAATCCGCACTGACTGTGTACCGGAATTCAAGGAGCCACTCGTGGTGCGAACTGGCACAACAGTACGTCTACCGATAAAATCACCATCTGTGATAATTGTGCCTTTCTTGTTACCTGAGAAGAAGCGTTGCGATTATAGTGGTAGGTTGTGAAACCCTTTGTAAATTAAATAAATTACAGGCTAGTAAATGTTTATGGAGTTTAGATTTCATTTCGTCCCATTTAGAATATATATTTCGCACTCAAAAAATAAATATGATTTTAGTGAAAGATGTTGCCCAGTGTTTAACCATTTAACTTCCTTTTTTGAGAATGCATAAAAAAAACAAATAATGGAGTAATCTGACTCCAGGGCTAATTATTTCAATTCAATTCAGAATACTTTATTCATCCCCCAAGGGGGCAATTTAACATTGCCTGATACACAGTGCTTGGACACCTTTCTATGTGTTGTAAAATAGAAGATGTTGCTGCAGGTAGCTTAATGAGATCTATTATTAGTAGGTTTAAACAGAGACACGAGTAAATCTTGCATTTGTTTAATTCGTATACAGTTTTCTACAGTGAAGCAGTGATACTGTAGGTAGACAGATCATTCTGAAAATCTGATATGGACCCAATGAGGGTAACTAATTTAACCATTTTATTTGCCGTAAAACCTTAGCGCTTGCCTGATTGGTTTCCCCTTGTGGTGATAGAGTATATAACGTTAACAAACCTCCCAAACCAGATTTCTGAGCAATGTGGTTGAATACAAATTTAAATAACACCCCGTTTAATAACAATTGGTTACAGTAATGGACACTGCTGCGTACCCAGGTAAATCCGCGTAATTAAAATAACTAAATCTTTTTAATTCAACTTGATTAATCAATAATTGATTAATTATTGATTATTAATTACAGTATATACCTGTAGGTTATAAAAAACAAAGCAATAATTGTTTCCAAATAAAGTAATAAAGAGCCTTAAAAAAGGTTTGCAAACTCTGCCCCTTAGACTATTCCCATCGTTAACTGTTAAACTAGACATGGATACATAGACAAATGTATGTGGGTAATGTCTGAGCTATGAATTACGCTTTGTGCATACAGTGCTTTGTGTGTAACATAGATAGTTTACCCTGCTATTGAGTTTCTGCTTGCAGTGTCATCTGTCCTGCTGAGTGAAAGGACAGCTGAGAACCTACTCACAAATTATTGCCAGGAAGACTTCACAGAAAACTAATTTGTTTGGGGAAAAGCCACCCAGTGATAGCTGAGATTTTTGCCTGGTGTAAAATTAACAAACTGTTTAATTTTGCTCTCATTCCTTTCCAAGTCTTCTGCTCTGACTGCACTTTTCAGAAAGGGTTTTTAATGGAATTGTTGCTACATTTCCTGTAGTAATGGCTCCTTGGTTCCAGCGGAACAACCTTGCCACCTTGATCTTACCAGCTCTTGGAAGCTAAGCAAAGCTGAGCCTTATCAGTACTTGGGTGAGAGACAAGAGCATCCTAGTTGCTGCTACAAGGGTGGACCAGTAGGTGGTACTCTTCCCTGTGGAACAGAATATGGTGGTACCATATTTAAAAGTATGGTGATTTTGAGAACTGCTCTGTACTTACTGTCTTTTAGAAAAGATATTAAACTGAGGTCTTGACTACTTGGCCATTTGGAATCCCTTGGCACTTTTTGATAAAAAGTAGTTGTTTCTGCTTTGGGCTGGTTCGGTCTTACCTGTCTAAAGCTGCTCTTTAGTGCAATTGGCAAAGCACAGTGCTCCTTGTGTATAATGGCTGCTCCACTTCAGAGGTGGAATATATGATTTCCCTTGTATGAGTAAAGTGTTTTAGGACCCCTTGGGTTCAAAAGCACTATGTAAGTGTAATCAAGCATAACAATTAAATTTAAATAAATTGCTAGTATCATCCATTTTGTTTCCTATTATTTGCAACTGTAAAATTATATTCATCATAATTTTCTAACTTCTTTCTCCTTTTGAGGGTTGCAGTGGTAACAGGCTAAGCAGAGTAGACTAGACTTCCCTTTCCCAGGGAACAATCTCCAGCTCTTTCTAGAGCACTCCTAGGCAGTCCCAGGCCAGCCGAATAATGTAATTCCTCCAGCATGTCCTGGGTCTGCCCTGGGGTCTCTTCCCAGTGCAAGGTGTCCAGTAGACCTCCAGCAGGAGTGGTACAGGGGGGAACCTCAGCAAAGGCCTGCACCATGTCAGTTGGCTCCTCTTGATCCATGGTCCTTTTGGACTACCAAGGTCTTCATCCTGTCCCGGAGAGTAAGCACAGCACCTCATTTCTGCTACTTGTACTCCCAACCTCATTCTTTTAGTCACAAAGCTCGTGGCCATAGATTGACTGGGAAACCAAGAACTTCATGTAGAAACTCTGTTCTCACTTCATCATAATGGTTGGGTACAGCGTTCACTTTACTGCAACTGCTGCACCAGTCCAGTGATCAATCTCGTGGTCCCCTCTACTCTCACTCGTGAACAAGAACCCATGGTTTTTTAACCTCTTCAGTGTGCACCAGAGATCACAGTCAGATGAGGCAAAGAGGAAAACATCACCCACAAAACAGCAGAGATGCAACAATCAGATCCCCAAACTGGATCCACTCCGAACCTCGACTGCACCTTAATATCCTGCCCATGAAAATTGCAAAGGGTAGAGGAGAAGAGATGCAACCCACGGCAGTCCGACACCCACCTTGAACAGGCTAGACAACACGGAGAATACACACACATTTGCTTCATAAATACAAGGACCAGATGACACACAGCAAGATCCCAGCACTCCATACTCCCTCCAGCACATCCCAAAGATACATCGGGTTACACCGTCATAGGCCTTCTCCAAGTGCACAAAACATGTGCAGACAGGGCTGGCAAACTCTCTTGCCCCCTCATATATCCAGGGTTAAAGAGCTAGTCTAGTGTTCCATGGGCAGGGTGGAATCCATATCATTCCTCCTGTATCTGAGGAATAACTATCACACAGAGTCTCCTTTCCAGCACCCTGGCATGGGCTTTCCCTGGGAGGCTGACGAGTGTGATTCTTCTGTAGCTGGAAGACATTACCTGGTACCCCTTTTTAAAAACGGGGACCACCACCCCTGTCTGCCAATCCAGAGGTACTGTCCCCACTTTCCACGCAACATTGAAGAGGCACATTATCCTCAACACCCCAACATTATGCAGAGCCTTCAGTATTTGCAGACGGATCTCATCCATTCCTGCAGCTCTACTGCTATCTACTATCAGTTTAATCATAGCAGTGACCTCAGCCAGAGAAATGGACCCAAGAATGCAAATAAACTTATCTTTCTTCTTTCTCAAGACTTAGTTCCACTGTCTTCCACAAGGATGCAGCAGTGAGCTTATATTAAGGAATGAATTGATGCTTTCTAAAAGGTAATTGCTTGCTTTCACACCTTTAGCTAAAGGCACAGTGGTGGAGTCACTATACTGCGCATATTGAATAAGCACTGTTTACCTTTTAAGTGATGTTGCTCTCTGTATACATCTGTATACATTTGATCTTATAGATATTAAAGACATCAGCTGTACATCCAAGTTCATGTAGGCTGTGTCAGTTATACCATTGCAGTTTCATCACAGAGTATTTCCAGATATGTAAGTTAAAATATTCATCTTCAAGATATTCAGGTTTGCAACTTGAGTGCAGACGCATCAATTTTAGTCACCATGCCAATTTTCATTTTTAATTATCTACAGCTCATCTTCATTTGGACCCTTTAGTTTACCACAAATAGGAATTCTTCAGAATTCAGAATTCAAGTCAAGTCTTTTCCCCAAGTCAGAATTTGTTATACTTATTTGTTTCTCTGTTGTGTCCCTCTGTTTCTTATAGTTGCTATTTTGTTTTCTTATTTTTCTCGTTTTCTTAGGTTCTGTATATCTATGCCTTTTGCAATGTCCCACTGGCTTTAAATGTGGAATCATAGTCCGGCACTGATAGTGAATTATTTCTGTTTATGTATGATATGAAATCCAGAAATAAAGTTTAAAAACTGAGGATAAGAAGATACATAGATCTTGAGCAAATATTTCCACAGTAAATGTAAATTTCAGGCCTAACTGTTAGTCCTGTAGCTTTCACGGTGCTGATCTTTCTCCTTTCAACACTCACAAGCCAGATTTGTTTTGTTAATCCTGGGAATAACGTGGAGCTGTGTTAACTCATACCTTGGAAGCTGAGTTATGTGTGATATCAATGAATAGATATCACATGCCTCAGAGAGTAGAAACAGGAAGTGGACTTCAATAATAAACGAAATAACAGGGGACAGTTCTTGAATGGAAAATGTACTTCAGAATGACACATTATCCTAAGGGTTTATTTGAGCTCTTATCACGGCTACCAACCTTTGAATCTTGCTCCAGAATTTATCATTAGTCAGACTGGCCAGTAGCAGAAATTACAGTTCTTTAATAAGAATGTGAGATGTTGTTGATGTGCTTTAAATGTAGATGGGGAGTTGGAAACAAAGTGGGTATTTTGCAAAAAAAGTCAATGCTTCTTAGAAAGCAGATACTTTTAACCCAGTAACAGTACCACAGGTGTTCTGAAACAAATTCCAGAATTGCCTTCAGTGGAGAGGGTGTCAAGCTGGCTGCCTGCTGGCAGTGTCTGAGATATAGAAATGAAGACTGCTGACACCTGGACTGTGTTGAAAAGAAATGCATTTTACAAAATCATATTGGAAAAGCTCATTTTTTGTTATGATTGTCTAATTTTCATAATGATTATTATTGTTAGTAGCAGCACTAGGAAGTCAAGTATTTATAAAATCCTTTATTATAAAATACACGTATCTTTAAAGGTGGTATTCTGTTACTGTAACAGTATATTACTGTAACATAGGTACAGTATTAGGAGCAAAGATGATATTTATGCTAAATGCTGTACCTAGAGTAGTCTAAATAATACAGAATTATTCTTCACTTTAAAAAAGATTCTCAACATATACATATATGCTGACAAGACCTTATATCACGGAATATAGTCTTAATAACATGCTGTAACATTTCATGGTTGTAATTGCTTAAAATTAAGTTAAACACTTTTGACCAATTACTGACTCAAAAGATGTTGTTTCACAAGATGTTTTAGGACATAATGTATTGATGTTATCTTAGTATAAATCACCAGTCATATTCAATGGTACTACTAAACTTCCTTTATTGCCACTTGCCTTGTCATTTTGAAACGCATACAGAGCTGAATGGCATTTCAGCCTGGTCAAAACATCAGTGAGCAGTACCTGTTCTCTTTGTGAAGATCCTAGTATCCATTCATGATAGCATTCATACGTTGCTCTCTGTATATTCCATCAGCTGAGGAAACCCAACTGTAGATTGAACAGATTTGAGGATGGCACTGTTAGTCTGTGGATGACACTTTTTCCAGTCTTGTAACTTGACACTTCAAGCGCCAGTCATCCATTAATTCCCATCCCTGTAGCCCCTTTCTGCTTCTGGAATCACATCCTAAACTTCTGACTGTCTTGTACACCAATAGTTGACAGACAGGCAGTGAAAAATTACATTTGATCAACTCTTGGATGATGCATGTCTGCAGCCCAAATCATCTTGTTCTCCACACAACGACTAAAAACACCGTTATATAATAAACACATACAGTATCTTAGTATCAGGCTTGTAAGGATAACAAAAAAACTAAGGTAGTCAAAACTATTTTGTGTATCTGATCAAAAACCAAACCAAATGTACACAAATGTACCTAAATGTACCCGATTGTACCCAATTTAACCCGAATGCACAAAAAAGTTGCCCAATATACTCAAATGTACTCGAATACCCAATGTTCCCAAATGTACCGGAAGGTAACCAAATGTACAAAAATGTGCCCAATTTACCTAAATGTACACAAATGTACCAGTGTTCCCGAATGGACCCGGATGGACTGGAATGTACCCGAATGTACAGAATGGACCCGAATGGACCCAGTGTACCTGAATGTACCTGATACATTAATCATAATGGTTATTAACACAATTCTATTGATCTGTTTCAGAAATCTGTTCCCCAAAACCAGTAATTATTTTCAAATCATGGTTACTGTTTGTACTGAGGTTAAGCTTCAAGATATTTAAGAATATACTGTATACAGTAAAGTGCTGGGCCTGTCATATCAATTAAGTATAATTGAAACACTAGAAAATATTACCAGTAATACTGGTGCCTTCTAATTAAAGACCAGTGATTTTCTAAGGAAAACAATAGATATCATAAACCTTTTCTAAAATAAAATGTGAATAACCTTCAAAGAATATTTGGTGTTGTACTGTATGTATCCAACAGAGTGTATGATGGATATACAGTATGTGTGAATTTTGCATTTTTGTTTATAAAAACCCTAGCATTTAACAAAGATGAACACATATAAGATTTGCTATAGGGTAACTAATATTAATTTGAAATTATACTTTAATTTGAAATACTGTATACTGTATAATGCTTTTGGGAAACAAGAAAAAAATAATACAAGTACTTAAGGGCTCAGACATTTACTCGTGTAACCCTTGCCCTGACAGGATGAAGTATGGTACCAGTAGTTCAAATATAATGGCATTCCAGGTTTCTGAAGAAATGCTTCATTTGTGGTATGTGTAGTTCCCTTAGGGACAGATATTTTGCTTTATCCTAGAGATTATCATTAAAACACTTCTCTAAAGAAAGTCTAGGAGCTAAACATTCCAGAAGCAGAAAACTGTTTTTGACAGTCGGTCACGCTGAAGACATGTTTCTTGGCTGAGACAAAAGTAACACCTGGGATGAAACACATTTTCTGCTGGAGACTGACAGATCCAGAGTCACTTTGTTATTCCAAGATATTTTAGAAATGATAATGGCAAACAATTTCTTATGTAGGATGGCAAAACGTGCTTTCAATTTGGCAGGTTTGTTTCTTGCATGAAAATAAGCTCAATGGCCTCTTGTTTGGAAATGTTTTTATGTTCTTAAAATTACACTGGGATTTATTTTAAAAACTCTTTTGACAGAGTGGAAACTTGGAGATGACAGTGACCTCAGTGACAGCCCTTGCTGAAGTCCTGCAGTGAAAGAATTTGTCCAAATTCTCTAAATGAATGTGAAGAACGTGTTCTGATCCATCATTCTACACTCTCATTGCAAGTCTTAAGGAAGGATTTCTGCTGTCTTATACCACAACCTACAGTAAGCATTTCACCTTCCACAGGTAGAAGAATGAATTCTTTTCTCCTCCTGCTTCATACTGTACCTATTATGGAAGTCATAGGTTATAAATCAATGTGAATTCCACTTCTTCAAATATGAAGATTCTACATTTTTCTCCTGCAGTCCTGTATTTTAACCTTCTGATGAAATTATGTTCTTAAATGTGATGTGAGTTTCACATTCCCATTTGTCAAGTTTTCTGAATGTGCCCTTGAATTTCATTTGGCTTACTGAATGGACTCATTATTAGACTCCATTGGTTTAGACTCCAGGGTTGAGCGATTTATGGCTCTGTAACAGTGTCAGTCTCCTTGGAGATCATTTAAACTCACTGTGCCCTATTTTCAAAATATTTAGGCACTTAATCTCCATGAGACGTAATGGAGGTTTAAGTGTTTTGAATACAGGGACCATTAGGTATGGCTTCAAGTTACCTGGGACAGTAATGCATAGTTCACATTAATTCATTTCTGAAACAGTGTTCACAGCTGTGAATACTGAGACTATTGCACCATTTTTAATGCCTGAGTTGTAACAGCAACCCTATGTACTGTATATAACTGCAAACTGAGGTGTCAGCTGCTACATTTTAAACATGAAGTATTTTCCCTTAAAATGCCAATATTTCTTTTTAAAAAAAGACAAACGCTATAATTTTCCAAGTTCTAAAATCCATACTTGTACATTTGTTATAAGGTTATTTTTTTCTATACTGTATTAACTTATATTATACTTTATATTTTTTAGTGGTGACTTGTGTACCACAGCTATCTTGTGATATAGATTTACAGTATCTGTATATTGTAGAGTTGAATTTGTGTTTGCAGAAAACAGCGATCAAGTCCATGCCAGCTGGAGGTGTTTACCTTATACGCTCCATGGAATATGATTATTGAGCTTCAATTATCTGTCCACAACACAAATTTTCATTTGCTCAGCTTAATTGTTCCATAACCAAACAAGACTTATTCTTTTGTTTTTTCATGACTTTAATTCTTTTTAGTTTAATTTAATTTTATTATATGAAAAACGCATACATCATGAAAAAACAACACTTAGTACATTTAATCTACACTGACTTTTAATAAGCAGTGCACTTATACACAAACAGATTAATTGTCATTCAGAAGAATGAACACCAATAGTAATGACTGTGTAAATAAAACAGGGCAGTAACAGGTAATGTTACTGACATAAAACAAGTGGGGAAGGGATATGTATAAAAAGCAGAACTGAACAAGTGAAATTAAGTGTTCTTTTTATCACTTGTATCTGTAATGACTTCTGCAGTCAGGAAAGCTATGCTCATTCACTGAGTGAGGTAGATCCGCACTTGGCACAAAGTCTACAAAACTGCATTTACAGAATCACCTGACTACACTGGTTTTTTCCTCAGTATCGGCTAGAAGTTCTCGTTTTCCTCAAATGTAAGTACTATGAAGTTCAATGTTCACAGAAAAATGTTAATCCATTGGAGGACAAAACTTTTTTAACTGGAAATGTATTCAGGACACATTCCTATAAATTTCTGAATAGTCAGGACAGATGACCATCTGATGACTATTCTCACTTTAATAATGCTTTAATCCAACTTTGTCACTGTGTTTCTTACTTTACTTTGTTTTCAACAGAACAGATAAATGTCTGCTAAAAAATTGGTTAATCCAGTGCTTTACACTCTTTACAGTATAACATATGGATAAACATTAATAGCATCTAAAATTTACCATTATGCATCCATTTAAAATTGTACATTGTACAACACCCAGAGTCAAGCTGAAATACTCACTTTGGAGTTCTGGAAGACATCTATTTTATCTAATGCTGTGACTGTTTTATTCTACCAGAGGTTAGTTTTAATTGTAGGACTGTAGGTGCTTGTGAACCCCTCTAATATTTTACAATATCTCTTTTACACATTCACCTAGATCACCAGAACCACAAATTGTAGTTTCAGGCTTGTTGATCTGCTAGAATACTTCAAAGCTTGCTGCAGTTTTCTAATAACAATGTGCGTCACAAGTCTACACATGTTTGCTTTTTAATCCAAGAGGAAATTAAGCTAATAATTTCCAAGAACAGTGCTGCACCACAAAACAAGATTTCTTATTGAACACAAAAAGAGCACATTTGGAACTGCCACAACTTGCCTTTAGAAATTTGTATAATTTATATGTAGAATGTTAGGTAATGAGAAGCCTTTGATAATCTAGGGCTCCTATTTTTAATTTTTATTTTTAAATCTGAAATAGTAGTGTGTCTCTTCTATTAGAACAGTGATTGCACACTAGTTTCTGGGATGAGACATACCGACAACAAGCTAGTAATCTCACATTAATAATTACCTTCTCTCATATTAGGTGTATTTACAGGATGTAGGTCATTTACACACAGGATTTTTAATCTGCGTTAATTAGTAATTGTCTTTATATGGAGTTTATACAAGAAAAAGCTATATGGCCTACTTTATCCACACTATACTCTTTATGATCTGATTGAATGAATTTTTCAGTTAATATCAAAGTTTCGTAATTTTCTTAACTGATGTAGTCAGCGGCTATAACTCACAACTGGTAACCCACCCTGAAACTCACAACTGGCAGCCCACGGAAGCTAAACAGGTGTGAGCCTGGTCAGTACCTGGATGGGAGACCTCCTGGGAAAGCTAAGGCTGCTGCTGGAAGAGGTGTTAATGGGATCAGTAGGGAGAACTTGCAGTGCAGTCTGTGTAAGTCCTAATGCCCCAGTGTGAAGATTGGTGACACTATAAAAAGCCACCATCCGATGTAGGATAAGATGTAACACATACAGTAGGTCCTGACTCTCCATGGTCGTTAAAAATTCCAGGGCATTTCTTGAAAAGAGTAGGGGTGTTAATCCCAGTGTCCTTGCTAATGTTTTCCCTATCCATTACCAATCATGGTCTCCTCATAACCCCTATCCATGAACTTGCTTTATCACTGTTCTCCTCCCCTCTGTTAGCTGATGAGTGGTAAACGTACTGGTGCACATTGGCTGCTGTTGTATTGTCCAGGTGGTACTACACATTGGTGGTGGTGGAGGGGAGTCCCCATTATCTGTAAAGTGCTTTGAGTGGAGTTTTGTGAAAAGGATTATATAAGTGTAAGGAAATGTATTATCATTATTGTTGTTGTTATAGTGAAAAAATACTCAATATCTTCTTATGTCAATGATTGCAGTTGTTCTACTATTGGTGCCAGTTTAAAATTCTGATATTTTTTACTTCAAGTTGAAAGATTTTTTCACTGTTTTCCTATGGTCACCACAGGTTATATGCATAATAGCTGTGTTTTATGGAAGACTGCTTTTATATGTTGCTGAAATCCTAAAGAAAACTCTCTTCATGCCCTTAAAGTATATTTTTTGTAAATGTTAATAGAGTAACCCATCAACAAACACCCATTTTAATTAATTTATATTGGACTAATATTAATAATATTATTACTTTAGGTACAGTATAACTTATAGTCTTATTCTGTGATACCTGACTAGAAACAAACATATATAGGCCAATACCAGACTAAAAAATTCAAACAAATATATGACGTTTAAGAGCTTTAATCCAAATGTATTTAACTATGGAATGAAATTAAAATACAATTAGGTTTAAGTATGAACCATAAACTGCTTTTATAAACTTTCTTTGTATATGTACTAATAGAGCTGTAAGGTAGTTATGTTGGCCATAGCTTTTAAACCAACAATTACACCATATAACATTCTTTTTAAGTGAAAAGTCCAGCTGTCCTTTTCCTTATCAATGGTGTGTTTCACTGTAAATATCTTGATAGTAAACTATCGCTTCTAGACCACTGTAAGGAGTGACTGAAACACAGAAAAAATCTCCACCTTTCACATTTGTTTTTAAAGGATCTTGGTCAGAAGCCTGCTCAATAATATCTGCTGACACAGACGATCCTGACACATCCTGGGAGGAGTTAGCTTCTTGAGAACCAGTCTATTTTTCACTGCTAAAAAAACTTTACCTTACCTGTCTCTGTTGTCAGAGACAAGTCTAAAAGCACCACATTCCTGTCACTAACAGTACTATTTGGTTAAAAGCCTTTTCTCCTTCCTGCCCATGAAGGAGAACTAACAGAAGTTGCTACTTCCCTGTAAGGAATAACAGGAAGTGCATGATGACCAGACATTTGGCTGCTGAAATACTGCCTAAGGGTTATGGATTTTCATAGACACAATTAAATTAAATAATCAAATATTGAACCAAATAATAACTTTCTAAATCATTATTTCTGAGATTGATAAGAAAATAAATTCATTGTTCCTTGTTAAATAAACATTGAACATGATCCTTTGCCCACAAGACAAAACATGCATTAATTGTGGTCAAATCCAGGTGAAATTAAAAAGTGTTATCACTTTGAAGCCAGCAACTTATATACAGACAGGTTCGCAGACAGTTTTGCAAGAAATGCTGTCATTTAAAATGTACATTGCTCTTTGGTAACCTGTGTGTCCCTTATTTAAATCTAATATGCATATGTTGGTATTAATGTTTTATAAGTTCACACTGTTATTACAGTATACCCTGGGCTGCTGGGTTTCATACACTGACTCACAAAGGTGATCAAAGAGACTTTTCTGAGCCAGTGTGCAGCAGGGAGCTGTGTATCAATCAGGATTTGTTGCATTTCATTTCTGGAAGGTGTCTGGAGCCCCTCAGGCTGTGAGGTTGAGTCCCACCTCCTTCATCGCCTCTCTTGTGTCATTCATTGTAATGACAGCCCAGCTCAGGAATTTCAGCTCAGAGAGCTCCTAAGTGCTCCTACATCTGGGAACCTACTCGTAGCCCTCAGAGAGGGAGAGAGAGAGGGGAAGGGAGAGAGAGAGGGGAAATAGCTGAACAAAGACAAGAGACTGCTGGAGACTGCCTTGTGCTGTGTTGGGACTCCTGCCTCAAAAGCCCTGCAGAGTGCATGGAGTGAAAAACGACAGGCGAGTACGATCAGGGACAGGAATTTGCAGGGCCAAGGAAAAAGAAAGAAGAAACTTGATTTGTAGGACAAGAAACTTGAGGAGAAAGTCTGGTTGAAAAGGGCTGCTGGTGGTAAGATCCAAAGACATGATGCCAATTACCTGGATAAGTGTGCTGTCCTTCTTTCTGTATATTTCCACTGGGAATGCTGACATTTACAGGTTAGTAAGAGAGCCACTGAACAAGAGCATGCACAACTGTGACTTTTTTTATTTTGCTAATAAAACAGTCACACTCTCTACAATCTGTAGGTGAAGTACCCAAGGTGTTGATTCGGTTGTGGTTCTGCTTTCCATTTAATTAATAGTTCACTGCCACCTCTCAGGAAATAAATATCCTGGTGGGAAACGTCCTGGTGTAGCATTATTATTACTATTGACAAAGAGTTACTGTTCTAAAATCAAGATGTTTCTAAAATGTTGCGTGAACTTTGTCTCTCTGAGGCTGCTATTTGAAATTTGGAAACTGGTCAACTAAATATGGTGCAGCAACTGTTTATAGTGAGGAGGACACCTGTCAGCCTCTTCAAACCCCGTTCCTTGTAGCTATTCTGGTTTAATTGAATTAGACTGGATAGGGTTCAGTTTCGTTGAGCAGCTAGGAGTCTCCAAGATAATTTTCGGGAGCAGTCAGACGGTTGAGAAAATGCAAAGCATTTGGTGTAGCACTGGTTCTTGATAAAGTGTTTTCAGTGTCTGTGGAACAGGGGGAAACGGAAAGAGGCTGTGGGCAATGCAGGAATATTTAACAGCCTTCCTCAAGAATGACCTCCTTTTACATGAGAAAAAGTCAATACCTTCATCATTGTCAACTCTTTTGACACAAATATTAGAATGGTATTGTATGTTACTAACATCTATTTATATATATCACATCACACAAACCACATGAATAACAATAAAAAAAAGTTATTTTGCAAAGAAAAAAGTTATGGAAGCTAATCAGGTCAAATGTATCTCAGAAGATATGTGTGTTTATCTGGGTTGTAATATCAATGGGTAAATTATGCTGAATGTTTAAGAATCAACATCATTTTGCTTTTAAAGAATTTACCTTGTACTGCATATGTAATTTCCAGAAGAAGCTGCAATGACAGCAGCAGTAACACTATTTAATATAATATACCTTTTTGATAGACTGGAAACATAGAGGGTGGAGCGGTGGCTCTGTGGCTAAGGATCTGTGCCTGTGACTGGAAGGATGCCAGTTCAAATCCCACAGCTGGCAGAGGAATCCTACTCTGTTGGGCCCCTGAGCAAGGCCCTTAACCCCAACTGCTCCAGGGGCACCATACATTGGCTGACCCTGTGCTCTGGCCCCAAGCTTCTCTCCCTGTCTGTGTCTCATGGAGAAAAGCTGGGGTATGTGAAAAGACAAATTCCTAATGCAAGAAATTGTATTTGGCTAATAAAGAAACATTATCATTATTATTATCATAAGACGTTTTCCATTTAAGTAGAAGTTATTAACTCTCTAAAGCCCAGTGTGCCATCATAGTCTTTACCCTGGTTTGAACACTTCTTCTCTGCTCCAGTAGTTATTCAATTTTTCCAGCAATATATGGAAATATTCCAATTTTTGCAGTGTATTCAGTTGTGGTTACAACATAAAGGTCCATTATTTTAATTTCAGTATAACTCTTTGAACAGATCTATTCCTTTGGATTTAAGGTATGCATTAACTGTCCTAAATGTTTCCTGGTGGGAAGCAGATGCCTTTTGTCTTGTTCCTCTTTGGAGACTCCATCCTCATTTTTTTTACCCCAAATCTTTTCCACAGGTTTCAGGTTGCCAGTCTCAGAAGACAGTGGCTTAATATACCTAATAGGAATGCACAGTCTTCAGCAAGCTGAAGTCTTTATGGCTCTTGCTTTATTTAGATGAGCAGTAAAACTGTCAGTATATACCAGTACTAATTACAGTGCTGGTAGGAAGTTTTTAACCTTTGATGTGCATCATAAAAATATACTCTGCCAAAAAAACTGGGTGGCTTGTTTGGACAAGTTGAACACAGGCCAGGTCTGCAAAATATTTTTATTCTGCATTAGCCAGACAAACAGGCAGAATGGTTGCAGATGTGCACATGCATTCCTTATTTTAATTTGTTAGAGAAACCGACATCCTGCCAAATCAGCATCCTTTAGTACCTTTGAGTATTTTATTAATTTTAATTAATTTATTTTAATCTGGAGTTCTTAAATTTTTTGCTGGCCTATGTTTTGTGAAATATATTTTCCAAAACAGTATGCTTTTACAAAATCAAACCGGTCATATAAGCCTGTAAGTTTTTACATTATTAAGACAGCAACAGCGGTATCTGTTTAATAGTCAGCTATTCCACTAGGTGTGGAGTTTTAAATGTTTTTTTTGGAAGCTTTTTTCTTCCTTTCTTCCTGAAGGTGTGAAGAAGGATGTGGATTCTGAATCTGAGAGCTGCAGAGTTTCTGTTACATTTTCACTTTTCCTAATGGCCTCTTATTTCTCTCTGAATGTTAAGACACAACCGACAGGTCTCATCAGGTACCCAGCCAGGAGTCTGTCGCTATGGAAGGAGACTAGAATGCTGTTATGGCTGGAAGAAGAATGATAAAGGCCAATGTGAAGGTAATTGAAATTTTACTGCATTAGAGAATCTTTTCCTGAGGTAATTCATGAAACCACAAAGTAAGTCAACATGAAACCTCATTTCTCTTTGTGAAACCTTACATTGCTTCCTTTCCTCCAGTTTCAACAGAATATCTTCAAAGCTGGTACATTTTTAAGAAAATCTGTTTAGCTGTTTCATTTCTGGATTTTCACATTGGTTGTTACAGTCATAAGACGTAAAGTACAGTGGGGATAGAAATCCATTATTAGGAGTATTACCAAATGTAATGTTGGTAATTTCTTTATATTTAGCTTCCATGTGGAAACAAAACATGATTTGTTTTATTTTTTGTTTGAAGAGGACTGTTGGTGCAATACATAAACAAAAATGGTTTCATTCTTTTCACGAATTGTTAATCAGAAATAAAACACAAACCACAAGAAAAATGAGAGATTTCACAAAGTATTATTATTTTTTCTTGTTTAATTTGATTAAACTGCTTTGAAAGCCTTTGAATAGGTATGAAATAAACATAAGCAAGAGAAAAATGGAAGCCTTTGCTTTCAGTTATGGCACCAGCACAAGTTTGTGAATCAGATAAATCTTTGATTCATCAGACCTTTCTAACTTAGCAGTAACTTATAATGGCATTGTTCTATGACCTACTATTCTATATCAAAATAAATAATAACAAAGTTAATAGAAATACTTAAGTCTAAAGCCACTGCTTCACATAAATTGCCAATGTACTAATGCGATGTGCCAAAGACAAAAGACAAATTTAGAATACTGAGATACAATCTTGTCATTATGTGCATTCACTCTAGATTTTCTTTGTGTTCAAAAATATTCTGAACAACATCTGGAGTTAGGACCCAGCCATGGCCTTAGGGATGAGAATACAACCCCCGATTGTCCACTATGGCTTTAATGTTTCTCTTAAATTCACCCATTTATCTCGCCCAAAGTTCAGAATATGTTTCATTTTCATTCTCCCCCACAAAGCACCACCACCAAGACACAGCCAGTGTACAACAGAGCATGTTTTTTCATTTGACGTGCCCTTAGACTGGTTACTGCACTTTCAACTAAAGATAAATCCCACTCACACATAGTCTGAGACTAATCATGCTAATTTGCATAGAGTACTAATGAGGTGGCTTTCTCATTGAGCATCATCCAGACTTGAGACACTGGTGAGACTGATGCCTGTTTATAAGATTAGTCCAGCCTTATTCTTATGAAGGCTGAGTTCACATCAGTAGACAAGTGAAAGTCTGGTTCTGTCGGATAAGCCTTCATAAACAACAGCTGACATTACACACTTGCCTCTACTTAGTCTGTCGATATTTTTCAGTTACTCTCGGCAGCCTTTTTTGAATTCTTGTGCCTCTCTCAATCTTTCTGTGTTTAAAGTTTTGGATGCCGATTTCTACTTGAAAGTGCCAATAAATGGCTACTGGAATATACTCTACAGTTACAGTACACTTCCACTGCTAGACAAAAAAATCTACTAGTGCTGAATTAAGCAGTCCTTTCCATGAACATAAATACCCGCAAAGCAAATCTGTCATCGACACGTGTGAGCAGAAGGGTACTGTATGTGCTTCAAGTGTGTATCAGTTAACAGTAAGCGTTGGCTGTTAACACCCCAGGCAGAGAGTAATCTGTCTTTCTTGTGAATGTATTAACAGCTCTCTGTGAACATGGCTGCAAGCACGGAGAATGTGTTGGGCCCAACAAATGCAAATGTTTCCCAGGATATACTGGAAAAGCATGCAATCAAGGTCAGTCTGGTTAATTAGAAGGATTGCAGTATGAAACTGAGGTTACTCCCGATGAGCTTGTCTCATTTTTTTGTTGTTGGACTGGTCGTCTCTGTTTCTGTTGTTAAAACAGCAGGTGGTCCAGTTGTTTGCTAACGCTCATTCTTTCTCACACACCTGCTGGAGCTTTCAAAATTCCATTTGCAGAAACCTGTAATTAAATAGTGAATTGTACATCTATTGGGCTACTTGCAAACTGTTGCTTTAAGGCAGGAGCAATCTAGCAAATGATATTCTGTTTTAGTGTAATTTCCAAGCATTGAACAAGATCATTCATAGTACATTGCTATTGAGAATGATAATGATACACCCTTATCATTTTTAACTGAGAAACAAACAGAAGTGAAACAATTGTGCTAAGATTAATTGTTTTATACAGAAATCAATCAGACAGGCCAAAAATATAAAAATGTTTTATGTTAAACCACAGAAGAGCAGGAAATAACTCTCATCAAATTAACGAACAGATTGTTGAACATTGATGGCACAGATCACAATGCTCCCTGACTCCAGATATCTGCAAGGGAGACAGAATGAAAACAGTGAGAGTGTACCCCTGTCCACACAGATCTGAATGAATGTGGCCTAAAACCACGCCCCTGTGAGCACAGATGCATGAACACTCATGGCAGCTACATGTGCTACTGTCTCAATGGATACATGCTGATGGCTGACGGCTCATGTGCCAGTAAGTGGAATTATCCTGGTTTAAACAGCGTTCCCAGTGAAGAGCGACTGTTGTTGTCGACATGTCTCTGAATATGTTTATGTGGGGGTTGAAAACCACACTTACCTTAGCAGGCAAGTTATTGACACCCAATAATGCGTCAATGAAGCATTTATAGATGATGATTATATGACAATTCTTAATACACTTGCAAATGTATGCATCTCTTAATAGAGGAAAGTTCTTAACAGGTGTTGGCACTTCTAATTCTATGTTTAAATATGAAAGGTTAGACATCATTTATACAGGGAATTTGTAACCCCTAAATTTTTCCCAAATACTCCTTTTCAGATTATTCGGTTCACTATTTTAAATTAGTCGATATGAAATAAATGGTTTTCTTTATATAAAGAGGCCGTTGTGGGTTTAGGACTGTACTTCTTATTTGTGAATACAAGCCTACAGTACCTGTAACAGCAATAGAATTCAAGATTTTTTTTATTCTTGATCTTTGTCAGTACTCACTTTCAGAAGCTCCATGTTGTTTGAGATTTAATCTTTAGAAATGAACGGAAGAGTCACACATATCACAAATAAAAGAAAAAAAAGACTTGGGTTCTGAATATTCTCCTCTATGGGGTTAAATAATACCCATAGGCCCAGGCCCTGGCCTAAGAGTGTCCACCGAGTAACAAGGACGTTTTCATCTTGGCTGGCAGATTCCAGGACTTGCATCATGGCCCACTGTCAGTATGGCTGTGAAGAGGTCCAGGGCGAGGTGCGCTGTCTCTGTCCTTCGGCAGGACTTCAACTGGGACCAGACGAGAGAACCTGCGTTGGTGAGCACCTCTTAATCTCACTGCGATCAATATTCACTGTCTCAGATGATTACCTTAATTTGGTTTCATAGCTACTTCTTTTTGCCTTTTAGAATTCTAGAATCCCAAGTAAGCTTTACACTGTAAAAGGAAAGCTACACATTCTATGTATTTAGCTATGATGATACTGAATAAGAGATCCTTTCATAATGGCTATTCCAGGGGCACTTATCATGAATGAAAAATTCCAGTTGTAAAGTCTTTACATTCTGTAATATAGCTGAGAAAACAACTGCAGTTTCTTCCAGAAAAGCAGCTTTAAATGAATGAGAATCTATAGGCCATTGACTATACAGCTCTGTGATTGACAATGAGAAGAATGACTGTCCTCTTTAAAACACAGTGACACTGGGCATTGAATTGTTCCTGTCATGTGCTGTGCACTGAGGCCACATGGGGGACAAATACTTGAGATTTATACCATTGGTATGCGCCGACTTTTTTGGGAAGGGAATAATGCATTACAATCTGTATAAACTACATGAGGCTCACAAGAAAAAGCAAAAATCCTCCTCCGTATCTCCTTTAAGTATGCCTTTTTGCCGTACATTTGCAAATGTATAAGATGTAAATGTATAAGGACATTGCAGTATGTCTTTTATGTCTTTTACAATCTTCTTGTAAATTACATTTAATAGAATCTGTATTTTAAAGCTGTCTAAAGTGTGGATAGAAGTTTGTTTGAACAAGACGTGCATTAACAGAGATTCTAAATATTGTTTATATGATTTGTATTTTGTATGTTGTTGTATTTTGTATTGTTTATATGATTTGTATTTTTCCCACCACTTTATTTAACAGATGTTGATGAATGTTCAACAGGAAAACGTCTCTGCCCTTACAATAGACGATGTGTAAACACTTTTGGAAGCTACTACTGCAAATGTCAGATTGGTTTTGATCTCGAATATGTTGATGGCAAATATGATTGTGTGGGTAAGGTACATTGCTCAAACTGCATTTTTACAAAGGTTGGATGCTGCAGAATTATGGTTTACGGGGTAAAAAAAACAGAAACAATGTTGGGAATTACATTTAACCAAAGAAAATGCATTAACTAAGAACTAAGTATTAGAACATTCTAATTTCTTAGAAATCAGACTTCTGCTTTCCAGTATAATAAACCTTAGAATGTTTAGTTTACATGTTTTTAATAACTTAATTTAATTTTTAATGTTATCTTGTGTTCTCTGAATCAAGATAGTTAACAGTAGGTTATAAAGATACTGTATTATCTATATGCAGGCATTTTTTTCTTATTCTATTCAAATCAGAAGATGCTGTCCAAGATCTTTTATCACTCACGACTGGCCCTAGAATGGTAGTTATAACAAAATGATCTTCAAAATTGCTTAAAGCATTCAACAGATCACAGAACAGCATTCTAAACATAAGATTAGTGTAGGCAGTGTCTAGTGTTAGTGTGCTAACCAACACTGCAACTTAAATCAGACTCAATGGGCTGAACAGCTTTTTTTCAGCAGAATCAAAGACTCAAGTTTTAAATTTCATTGTGCGTCTTTGGAACACCATTGATAATCAGACACTTGCTATTCAAAGGCAACATCAAACTCTAGCAGAGCTTGACCTGGGGCTCATCAAAGAATGAAATGCAATTCCCCATGGTCACAGCTGAACTCTGATTAGATTACTCAGTGTGATGTGGCCACAGGTGCAAGGGGTGAACATGCCCTTCTTGAAATGCAGATGAAATGGCTTTTTAATCATTAAGGTATAGTAAAATTTCCCGGTAATGGAATACAATTGTGTGTCATGTCTGCAGAATATTTTGCTGGAGAGTTTATTGTTACACATACAGTAACTTGTTAAAATACAGTAGGTATGTGCATGGTCTTTGCCTGCTGAAATGGAATTCTGCTGTGCTTTCAGATGTTGATGAATGTGCAAGCAACACCCACAAGTGCAGTCCCCAGGCTCAGTGTTTGAACACACATGGATCCTACAAATGTAAATGCAAGCCTGGCTTCAGAGGCAGTGGCTTTGATTGCTCTGGTAAGAAAAATCCTGGCATTCAAGCGATGACAGACAGGTTATGTACACATCTTACAGAGTTTCAAAAGTGGAACAAATCTCCTGCCTTCAGAAGTGCTGATTTGAATTCCATGACACAAGTTGGGAGACTTTAAAGATGTATTGTAGTGAAAATGATTTACTGTAGGATTGCTGGGCTGAGATTCACCTTTTCTGTTTATTCCCAACACAAATATTAAAGGGAAGCAATACGGACTTTCCTGCTGTGTCCTGGCTGCTTGTGCCCTGATTGTACTTGTAATTAGGCAGCAGACATACAGTAATTATAACCAAAGACGGTTTCCTGCTTTCGGATCCTTTCCAATCTGCATATGCTTGGAGAGGAGGTCTCATGAGTTAAACCGCACCTATACAAATACCTGCACATAACTGCGTCAATATCTGAAAGACAGGTGAGAAAAAACCCTCTCACAGGGAACCCCAGGGAATCCTTCATTCTAGTCAAAAAGCTGGATGGATAAATTGCCTAGTAAGTTTCACAAGTCGTTTCAAGTGATATGTTTGGGTTGCAGAAGCAAATAAGGTTTTGTAAATGCAAGATGCCTTTCTATTTTTTAGTCAAGCCTTTTTTCCAAAATTCATGGGATGGAGACAAAGGCAGTGCTGATGATTTCCTCAATGGTGAGACTGTTTGGTATTAAAGGCTTTGCATTTCCCATTGCCCTTTTCCTGCTCAGTCTTACCTCCCTCAGCTCTAGTGGACAATGCAGTGTTCGTGCCCACATCCCCTCCTCCTGTGTCCAGTTCTGCACCCCTGAGGCTCTGTGCATCTGACTTGTTAGGCTCTTGCAAACATTTTGCATTGTAGTATGTAGCCATCAGCATGCAGCTTCCATCAACCCTGCTCCTAGGAATGTCTGACATGAAAGATACGCTTACTTGCAGTGCTGGTGCCAAAATACCACAGAGTCCTGATACATGTGCTTTTCTGCTCAAGGCGCATCCAACGGCAAAGCATGTTCGTGCTTCATTTGCAATGCTTTGCGTATTGTAACGCTTACGTCCTTCAGTGGTGTGTAAGAGCCGGCTTACCAGAGCGGTGACGTCACCGCCCTCCCCTGTAATAGCAGGACTACAGCCACTGGGCTGTAGAGAGATCTCTCTTTAGCTCAACAAGCTGGGTCCCTGTTGAATGACGCGGGAGTCCCGGGTTTGAGCTCCCGACGGTGCGGGGCCGACCTAATGCGGCAAGGGCGCCCACCTGAACCCCGTTGCGTTACAGTACTCATAGTAAAACAAAGAGTGGTGTGGCCAACTGTTTAAACAAATTACATCATACACCAATAAATGTCAAGGTTTTATAGCGGAATCTAGCTACATGATTAGCAAGGACATCTTATTTCAACGTAAGTCTTACTTTTTTTATCCCAAGATAACATTTTTACTTTCCCTCATGTGAAGTAAAACCAAAGAAACTGTCATGTTTTAGGGAGGTGACAGTTGTCATGATTTTAAATTGTCCTGTTAAAAACAATTGGTTTTCAAAACATACTGTGTTTGCCTGTTGTATTTGTCCTGGAGAACGAGTGAACAAACCTGATCAATTCCAGTCAACAGATTTAATAAATTAGTCATAAAAAATATTCACATGTATCTGCTTTGAGCATAGCTCATGCACAGCTCTATTAATAAACAAGCGCCAAGTCCCAGTTTTCATGAGTACAAAACTTTACAAGTGTCAAGAAAGCACCCAGACAAGACACTGGTAATTGAAATTATTTCAGAACTCTTTACTACTTTAGGTGCTGCCTTCAACATAAAAACATTCACCTTGGTTTCCTGTGTATCTAGAAGTCTAGCTCAATAGGTGTTTTCAATATCTCTTAGTTAAAAGCTAATTAGTGTTTGATTTTCATATTTTCGCTTTCATAACAAAGCATATAATCACGTAATGGCACACCATGTTTACTGCTAGAACAACCACTAATTGTATTGTAATGGAAAAGGCTTTAGGAAAAAGGAAATGATTGTTTTCTTGCAGCAGCCCGTGAAGAATAAGTCTCTAAAAGCATTTCTAATACCCACAAATCCATTTCCTCAACTCAAATTCTTGTATTTATGGAAGGTTTTTTTTTCATCTCCTATAATTTACCAAATCTTCTCTTCACTGTTAAACGTCCTGTCTGCAGCAAACAAATACAGTACTCTTCATCAAACTATTTAACCTTTTGTTCTGCAGCATAATAGGGGACACAGATACATTAGCTTTTAAAGGGACATTACGTGCTTCATTACACCAAAAAGAGGAACATGGGCTTAAACAATGTGCAATGATAAATCTCAACATGTGAATGCAGAGTATTTGGAATGATCTTGTTTGGGTAAAAAGGAGATGTGGAATTTATCATTTCTCCTTCTCCAAACTTTAATTTCTGTCCTGAAGCTGCCATTGTCAGAAGATGTGATAAGGTTATAGAGTACTATATGTCTCACATGTACGATGTGCAGATTTTTAAGTGAGTGCAGTTTGTTTTGCATTTTATGAGGTTGTAGACAGTTGTAGGATGTACAATGTGTAGAAGATGAGAGAGAAACAGCCTTATGCATGATCACCATTCAGGTTGTGCGCACAACTAAAATCTCTTGATTCCACAGCCAAAAGCCATTCCTACAGTCTTCAGACAACATGCAAAAATGTGTTGCATTATGTGAGATTATTTAAAATTATAGCCTGTATTTCATGGGAGACTTTCTCACTTAGGTGAAACATAGTCCCACTCCCAATTTCTTTGTTAATTCTTCCAGCCATTCCTGACAGCCCCAGCAAAGAAAGTCCACGTATTCTCGGAAATGGCAAAGATCCCTTGACAAAGCTGGTGGTCGACAACAACAGGGAGCTGGAAGGCGAACAGCGGAAGAATGTTATCCCTGAGCCCCAGCCCACTGCACCTCCCAAAAATCGCCTGCAGCCATTCGATTATGAGGATGGGATCTATATTGGGGGCTCAGTGGAGGAAAAGGACCCTGAGGATGATGTGTTCTTGGAGGAAGAGGACAACCTGGAGAACCAAATCGAAAGCAAGGAGACCAGCCGTAGGGGAGATGTGTTCAGTGAGTTCCACTTCCTTTCACTCTGATTATACTGTCGTGTTCCTATATCAAACTGGACAGCCACATGCCAGAATAAACAAACACCTATTATAAGGGCTTCATGATAATTATTATATTAGATTGTTTTACTTGGACATAGGTAGAAATAATTGCTTTTCGATTCCTTTTTTTCATATTAAATTGGGTCAGTCCCATATGGTATTAGTTTGTTAACGCAAATCAGAGAATTTTGCTTTTACAGTAATTTGGTCCTGCTGTGTCTTTCATTGCAATTCAACGTAGCTTTAATTTTTGAGAGGAATTTATCCAGTACTTTTAAGTTGACTTCAAATGAAAAATGAAAGATGAATCATCTGATAGAAGACATAAAGGTTGCTGGCTCACATTCTGGCCAGGAGACCCCTGGAGGTGGTACCACAGTTGGCCAAGCTTTACCAGCGATGGCTGAGGTGCTGTCAGCTGTTTCAGTATTATTATAGTTTACACAAAAGTTAATTACAGTCTTAAAAAAGGACAGTGTGAGTAGTGCAACTCAATGCAATTTCTCACACAAGTATTCATATACTGGAGGCTGTGAGAGTCCCTAGGAGAGATATTCTATAGTTCAGTGACTTGCAAATGAATGTCTCCTGAGAGCTCAGGTCATTTATCACAGCTGTACAATGTTCTGTCTCTTCCTAAATTCCACATTTTAGTCCAGTACAAATTGTTACTGACCTTTACAGGTGTCCGAGCTCTTGGTTTCAGCTAAATGTACTCGTTCTTTCATAATTAAAGACACCACACTTGAGTTCAGACTTTTGGAAAACTAAACAGTTTGGCAAAGCATAAAGGCAATTTGTACTCTATCTCATCTTGGCTCTTTCAAACTATATTTGTAATCAGATCCTGACATCTGTTGAGACTTTGCTTAGCTTGGAAAACACTCAAAATTGAACTTGCTGGCTGGTATTTTATTTCAAGTATGGCATGCTATATTTGATGCTGTATGGAAATGTAGTACAACAGAGAGCTTGTGGTTATCTAACATTATCAAGAGCTGTGAAGCACTGCAAAGTAACACAGAGGTCGATTCCATGCTGAAGAGTAGAAAGATGTAAAAAACAACATTTTGACAGTGGGGTCCCTTCAGGTGTGATAGAAAAATAAGAGGGGAGCAGGAATATAAAACATAGGGGTGATTAAAAAAAATAAAACAAGAGTTTGCAAGAAAAAGAAATCAGGGAGATGAATTACAGGACAAGTGGAAAAAAGCTGTAAAATTATATCAATTGACCCCAAATGTCTTTTCTCTTCAGGATGGACATAACTTGTCCTTTTTCCTATATGTAACTCAAAGTTTTAACCCAGTTTCAACTCAAAGAGGAACTTGGTTTTTTATTAGTGGAGATTGTTTTATTTCTAAATTACAATTGTTACAATATTTTTACAAATACAAATTCATGTTGTAGTGTAATGCGTGTTGCTTAAATATAAAGAAATTCATTTTAATATGAAACATTCTTGTTGACCTTAAAACTATGGCTTTAAAACCATGGTACCTCCCTGTCAGACAGTTTTCTTTGAGGTCCTATGAACAAACATTGCCTTGTGAGTGCTTACCCCAGTAGTTTGTCACCCCAGGGGGCCATAAAATGTATTATGTTTTTGAAAAGTATAAAACCCACACTTATTAGATCCATGAAATACATTATTTTAAAACCTAACCCTTAAATGAGGGTGTATATCCATGAGTACTCTGTTTCTTGTGTCAGATAAACACATTTTTGTCTGTTACTTATTTCTGTATTAGTTATTAACCTCTTGAAAGCGCTTGTCTGGACCACATTCCGCATAAAGCTGTGGGAAGTACTGTACCTGCTGCCTTCAGTCACCTGAGCAGTGCTGAAAGACAATAGTCCAGACAAGGGCCATTATTTTGTCTGAACCTGCTGCCCTCTTACACAGTCCTGAATCTTAAATGGTTCTTAAGTTAGAGGTCAATGTTAGAAGCCTGTTAATAAAAGTCCTCTCCAGGCTGATCTATCAGCCCGGAAAGACCCATAACTCTTGTAGGTCTTTTTAGTGTTCTGCCTGTGCTTTAGCTAAGACTCACAAAGTGCTCCTTGGCTCTCCTTTCCTTGGGAAACTGTTAGAGCAATCCTGTGTGTCACTACAGCTGGATTTGTGAGCAGTAACTTATCTATTAAATGCCAGCTGCCAGAGGATGTCCATTCTCCCATGAGCACAGTCTCATTAGAGTGTCCTTCATTTCTGGGGATAGGAAGGGACAATATTTTTTCCAGATTTTTAACAATTGATGTCCAAATGATGTCAACCCTCCCAATTACAGATAAATTATGAAAACCTCTTACTTATAATCAAGCAGGAAAATTATATATTACGTTTGTGTTTTGTTATAAACCTTATACTGAGGCAGGTTTTGCAAAGCCCATTTCACCTAAAGTATAATTTTCAAAATACGTATTTGAGCAGAAGATCTATTTCAGTGTTTTTGAAACAACTATCCCAACTAAAGATATTTATTAAATCCATTAAAATGTTTAAACAGATTTCTGAGGAAAATTATTTTGAAGACCCTATTTGCCTATACATTAGAATAATTCTACACAGACTGGTAGGGAAGACTAGTTTATTTTTTTTGAATTTCAAAGGTGGAACTACAAGAGTTTGTTCTTATTATTCTTTTGAGTTGGGAGTCCGTGTGCTTCATTCCTGCAGAAGTAGTTAAGCCTTTTAACCTAAGCTGGGAGGAAGCAATAACCTCCCAGAAACCCTTATGCACACAAATGCCTTTCACCTCTCTTCTCACTGAAAGAAGATACATGACACATAATCACTTTTCTTTTTTTTTTGGCAATGCTTGGTATTACTTTACTTTTAATTTAATAAAATGCTTGAAAAAGAGAAGAAGTTCCCCAAAATTATTTTGAATTACATGAAGCCCTCACTGAAAAATGCAAGTATGTCTAAGTATTGTAATGCAATGTGTGGTACTGCATGTTTTGCTCTGTTGAGACTGGAGAAATGTAGTTCTTCAATTGAAATCCCAATAAAGCTATGGAAGATTTGAAAGGCATTATTCTGCAAGTGTTTGTGGCAGTAAGAAGTTGTAAGACTAACATCTATTTTCATAGACGAGTCATTTCATTATGTGGTAGGCTTTGCATTTCTCTAGGCTGGGGAAGGAGGGGATATTACATCAGTTTGCATTTTCCTGTTTTTATGCTCTAAAAACATACCTGCGAGTAATTTTCAGAGCCCAGTGGCTTTGCAGCCTCACCAAATTAGCCTCATTGCATTAACAAATAGCGACAGATAGGAAGTGGGACAAAGTTACTACATAGTTCCCCTTGAATTACACATTGATTTTACAATGCTTCCACCACAATTAAATGGAAATGTTGAACATGCATATAATTTACGTCCTTGCAAATCAATCTCCAGCTCAATGTTAGTAAAACCAAAATGGTAATCTTTGATTTCAGATGGGACAGGACTGAATTACTACTTCTTGTGACTGACGGTGAGATTCTGGAGAGGATAGGCACCTTTACGTTTCTTGGCATAACAATCTCTTCCACTTTGAAATGGGAGACCAATGTACACCAGATAGTGAAGAAAGCCCATCAGAGACACTATTTTGCCAGGAAGCCACGGTCCATTTTTACAGGGCAACAATTGAGAAAGTATTCATGTTTTTTCTGTGATGGTCCGCTTTGGGAACTTAGCCACTCAGGAGAGGAAACAGCTGCACAGAGTGGTTCACACTGCTTCTAAAATAATTGTCCGTGACTTACTGTACCATCTGTTGTTTCCGTATACGCAACATGTTTAAAAAACTCTGAAAACTATCAGTGACCTCTCCCACCCAGCTTTTCCCTTGTCTGAGCTCCCTCCCATAATATGGCCATGAAATGACAAATTTGTAAAGGCTTTGTGTGTATTACAATACAGTGATTGCAGCAGTCATGATTTCTAACTCCTAGATCAAGTCTACGTAAAAGCCATGTAGTGTTTTACCAATGTAAAATTTCTAGCTGAGAAACTGTGACACAATTGTCTCTGCCTGCAGTGTGATCATTATCATGTTTAGTCTGACAATGGGCTTGGAGTTTAGAATGCTTTTAAAAGCAAGAGGAGACAAGCCCTGTGCCATCAATCAGTTAGGACTTGGAATTTCACTTCAGGAAAATAGCCAGGCGGTGTGTGAGTACCCTAGGGATATAGTTTTTTGAGCACTTCATCAGCTGAGAGTCATGCAAGGATTTGGACCTTTTATTATCTCCCCCCAGAACAGCTGGAGAAAAAAAGCAGAGCAGACCCTCATTACAGAAAGTCTGTCATCAGCCTGGAAATCTGCTGCGATGTTTGTCCTGTACTAGTTTAGGTTCAATTAGCTCGGGCCTCAGTACATCTGGTGCCTTAGAGTGTTCACAAAGGGGAACGTTTGTTTTAGCAACTTTAAAGAACCTCGGAGACCATTTTCCACAGTCAAAATTTAATACTGGGCGTGTTAAAAGATAAATGACAGTTTGGCGAGTGCGAGCTTGCAGATTTAAATGAATTAAATCTGTTATCTTGTTTGAAGTGGATTTTTTTTAAATATGGAGAGCTTCCCAAATATACATTCCTTGAGGAAAGAACAGTGTTTGATCTCTTAATACAAAAAAAAAACACAGTTTTTAAGTCTGCATAACGCCAAATTGTACAATTAGGTCTAATCGTTCCTGTAGAGCACGTTTTTTTTCCTGTCGGCAAGGAAGACCGGGGAATAAAAATCACATCCTTTAAAAAAGCATGGAAACGTTACAATAACCTGGGCTGCCAGATTTTATATTATTCACCATCACAATATAAATAAAACATTGTAAAATCATATCACAGGAATCGCTTTGTGATATAGACTCATTAATTCAATATAAATTATATACATTACTTGCATGTATTGTTTACAGACAGTAAATTCCTCTTTTCTGTTGGAAAAGAGTGCACTGTTGCATTACAGTTTCAGACAGTGACTTGTGCTGTTTCTTGCCCAGTCCCTGAGGAGTACAAGTCTGTGATTGGTCGTCTTACAGTGACGAAAGAAGCTCCTGCCGTGGTGCCTGGCCATGAGGGTACGGTATATCTATCTCTTCTCTTCAGATCAGCTCACAGACCCCTACTAAATCATTTTCTACAACCAAGCCATAACCTTGCCAATTAATTGGTACCTGTAAATAGGTACAAAGGCAAAAGAACCCAAAAGGACAATTCATTAAAACTATGGATTTCAATGTTCCAGCCAAACACATTTGAATAAAAATTAGAACATAAGTATTGTTTACAGAGGGGTACACTTATCCCATCTACTATGTTCACCTTACTAGGATCTGATACAAAAATGTTATCTAGCTCATTCTCATAAGAAAGTGTCAGAAAGGCTGTTGGATTCCACAACACAGTTTAGCAGCTTATTCTATATTCCCAAAGCCCATTGTTAGAAAGTGTCTCCTGATATCAGTTTTAAATGCATATAGTTTACGCTGGTGTTTCCTCTGATTCTTGTTTCACTGTTGAGACTGAAGTCATCAATAACAACAGCCTTTCTGACAGTTTCTTACAAGAATGAGTTAGATAAGTTTGATTTAAATTCTACACTTTTAAATATATATTCTAATTTTCTGTTTACCTTTTTATTTTACGTAAAGTATTTGCTCATTAAGTGTTATTTTCATGTTATTGTTTCACTTCTTGGTGCATGTGAAATGCGAGCATTTGGATTTAATGTATTAGTAATAGCTATTACGTTTTTATTTGTCAAAAAACACTGTTTCAGCTTTTCAGTTATGCAATTAACTATGCTGGAAAGATAACGTACTTGTACATTTAGCTTATGGTTGCATCCTTCAGAATTCATCATCGACTGTAGCTTTAACCAAGGAGCTTGTGAATGGATGCAGGACACTGAAGATGACTTTGACTGGAGTGTAGCAGACCATGATAATGGTAAGGTATAAACCAGAATGAAAGCTGTTACTTTTGCTTGCCATTGCATTAACCCATTGTTCTAGTAGCATACATGCAATACACAGTAAAAAAGTATTTTTATTGCTATTATTGCATATTTGTCACACTGGATGTTTTCAGAACTTAAGACAAAATCTAGTATTAGATAAAGGGAACCTGAGTGGATAAATGACACTTTATTATTATTATTTAATTTATTTAATAAACAAAGTTATCCCACACATCCCTTGTGTGAAAATGTCATTGCCCCCTTACACTGAATAACTGGTTGCGCCACCTTTAGCTGCAATGACTGCAACCAAATGCTTCCTATAATTCTTTCACATTGCTGTGGAGGAATTTTACCCTACTCTTCCTCAAAGAACTGCTTTAATTCAGAAACACTGGTAGGTTGTCGAGCATGAACTGCTCGTTTCAGGTCCTGCCACGGCATCTCTATTGGGTTTAGGTCTGGACTTTGACTAGGCCACTCCAAAACCTTAATTTTGCTTCTTGTCAGCTATTCTGATGTGGACTTGCTTTTGTGTTTTGGATCATTGTCTTGCTGAATGACCCAGCTTCAGTTTGGACATTCTCCCTAAGACTTTTCTGATACAGAGCAGAATTAATGGTTCCTTTAATTATGGCAAGTTGTCCAGCTTACACCATCACACTACCACCACCATGTTTGACTGTTGGTATAATGTTCGAATTGTGGAATGCTGAGTTTGCTTTATGCCAGACATAATGGGACCCGTGTTGTCCAAAAAGTTCCACTTTTGACTCATGTGTCCATAGAACATACTCCCAAAAGGCTTGGGGATCATCCAGGTGCTACTTGGCAAATGAGAGACAACCATTTCAGTTCTTCTTGGTTAGCAGTAGTTTCTGAGTCATGAACACTGACCTTAGCTGAGGCAAGAGAGGCCTGCAGTTCTTTGGATGTTTTTTTAGGATCCTTTGTGACTTCCTGGATGATTTCACGCTGCGCCCTTGGAGAAAATTTGGCAGGCCAACCGCTCCTGGGAAGATTCACTATTGTTCCAAGTGTCCTCTATTTGGAGATTATGTCTCTCACTCTGTTTGGTGGAGTCCCAGAGCCTTAGAAATTGCTTTGTAACCTTTTCCAGACTGATAGATATCAACAACCTTTTTTCTGATCTCTTCAGGAATTTTCTTTGACTGTGGCATAATTTTCTTGTTGAATCTTTGTGCTGGTAACTTGACTCTGATGGTAAGGGTCAAAATATATAGTTTATATTGAGCAGTTCTGGCTTAATAAAGCCTGGCTGTGTTCAATCAGCTGACTCTAAATTATCCCTTTAATTGGGTTGATTTATCTACTGGGGGCAATTACTTTTTCACACAGTGCCAGTTGGTGTTGGATAACTTTGTTCATTAAATAAATTAAATAAGCAAAAAAAAAAGTGTTATTTTTTCACTCAGGTTCCCTTTATCTAATATTAGATTTTGGTTGAAGACCTGAAAAACATTCAGTGTAAAAAATTTGCAATAATAGAGGAAATCAATAAGGGGGCAAATACTTTTTGCACTGTAAACACATGAATGCTTTATTAAAGAAGTACGTTTCAGAGCAAAAATTGTATCATCATACAAAATACCATTCTTTCACTTTGTCTTCTTTTCAAATATTTTCACAACAATGACTCCATTGACCTTCAGATCATCAGGGCCTCCATTTTCTAGTTCTTTTGAAAACATTTTACAGCAGTTCTCTCCCCTTGGTTGCATGCTTATTAGGAATTGGATACTACATGGCTGTTCCGGGATTTGTTGGCGAGAGGAAAGACGTTGGGCGCCTGAAACTCCTGCTGAGTGACTCTGCATCACAAAGTGGCTTCTGCTTGACTTTTAACTACCGATTGATCGGCGAGAGGATTGGCAAACTCCGAATCCTGCTGGATGACAGCGGCTCTCCTCTCTGGGAGCGGAGCAAGAGCAGAGACGAGAGCTGGCAAACGGAGCTTGTGACTGTGTCCTGGAGTAAAGCAGCTCCAGAACATGTTAGTATTCAAGCGGTACAAACACGATGTTGAAATATTGCCTTCCAGCCTGGGGAATCAGGATTTTTTAATCCCTTTCAGTTTACTAGAAAATATCACATATGTAATAATAATAATAATCTTTATTTTTGTTGTTGTACATTTCACAATGTTTCTTTTAGTCTTCTTTTATGCTAGTGACTTGTTTTACTGGTCTTGTCTCATTCAGTTTTTTGTCCTTTCCCTTGTGATAAATACAGAGATATGGTCAGGGACAGGAGTAGCACCAGAGGCCTTGGTGTGTGCCTGGAAGTGTAACAATGGGTTCAATTAAGTCAACCTATTTTATACATTTCTTCTTGCTTGTTCTGCAGGTTGTTTTTGAAGCTGAACGTGGAAAAGGAAAAGCTGGAGAGATTGGGCTGGATGATGTTGTTTTAACCTCTGGATCTTGTCAAGAAGATGACTCTGTTGTGTTTTAAGCCAATTTGCACTTTGCAAAGGTGCAAGGCATGATGATCCATTAAGACAACACACCTCAAAGGCAGAACCTTCTTTTGAATGTTTCTGTCTTCAGAGTTTACAGTAATTAAAAAATGAACTAGAATGTTTACATGAATCCTCATTAAAGAAGAAAAATCTTTTGTGTTCTGTATTTCTAAACAGTTCCCTTTTGTAGCACATTCAAAAAACAAACCTCTGTAGTGTGTGTAGTTTTGCTTTTTTAATTATTTATAGTGTCTTAAAAGCAAATATCTGAAGACAAGTACAAGCTGGGGGTGGTTATGTGCATTTTTGCAGATTTAACACAATACTTGGTCATATTCTGATGTTTTCCTATTGATGTCAGTCAAAATATTGATGTTTTGTAAGTTACGGTAGAGAATCACAACATAAGGAAACAAATGAACATACAGCTACACCTTTCAAAGAAATATTTTTAATTTGGAGTTAATACGTTTTTTTAAATATAGACATCTCGGGTTTTTTTTAAGAAAACATGGGGAATATTAGATATATAAACTAAAACAGTATGTTGGATTATTCTGGATTATTCTACTTTAAAAAACACTTCTGTTCCACAAATTAGGCAATGTTACTAAATGTACTGTACCACATTGTAGTGTGGAAAATATGGTAGGGTTAAAGAAGACAGCATTGATCAAACGGAATTATGTATACTAAAATGAACCTTCAAGTAATTCCACTGATCTTCTGAAATGTTCTCAAAATATATTGAATGACCCGTTCATCTTATGTTTTTAAAAAGTTTATTATCATTGTAACTATGTTTAACAGCTGTAAATTTTGCTTTATTATCCTAATAAATCTGTTTGTTTTTATACGTGTTGTGTATTATTTTAATGTCAGCAAAGAAAAATTAAATGTGCAATGAAATCAATCTTTACAGTGTTAAGCTAAAGATCATGACCATATAGGACACAAACAGAACTTAACATTTATGGGATAATGTTTTAACTTGGATAAT